TCCTCATCAAAACAATTTATTAAATACTAAATAAGATAGATACATTCAATGGTATACCAGTAAATATTTAACAACCAACTTTCTGGGAAAAGGTTAAACATGATAGCATTTACTGAGTACCGTAAATAGTTCTACCATGGCCAACTTCAAGTCACTAACATGACGTCACTGAACTGAGAGGAAAAGATATGCAATAGCACATCCTTATATACAATTTCCCTTGTATGGCTATGATAGACACAGATCAACGCAGGAGTATAGATGGTACACATAATTAAGAAGTGATGAGTTTAAAATATTTGCTAGCTTTATTTTTGAAATAATTCATTTAAACGCAAGTCAGTTTGATTTGATTTTTAAGAATAGCCGAGTTGAACATCCACTTTGCAAATCCTGAAAATTTAACGATCAGCTATCATGAGCCAGTGGGGACACCACCATGGATATCTGTGTTAGTATGGTACTAGTTACGGTAAAGATGATCATAACTCTTCTGGGGAGCCTGTCTGTGTTAGGTGCCTTTCTCTATATTCCTACTATAACTTTCCAGATGTCACAGCGAGTACCACACTGTGTTGAGATCTCATTTCTTTGCCTTCACACTTGATTTCCCTAAGGCCAGTGACTGTAACTGACTTTGAACTCTGTATGTTCTCTATCTGGCACTGTGCCTGGGACACTTAGGGCTCAAAAAATTTATATTGAAAACAAATTTATCTGCTCCGCTCTTGTCCTCAAGGAGCCCACTATAATGGTATCTACAAAAATGATCTACAAAACTCATAGATACAGAATACACAGTGTAGTGGAAGCTCTGAATAAACATGTGAATGGATAATAAGGTTTTTATATTACCAACAGTAGCTTTTATTGGGATGGGAAAAAAGTGATTATAGATCATTGAAATTAGACGTAGCAGTTCTATTGTGATAAAACAAGCACATTTTTCCTTGTGTCATCTATTTATTCTTTTAGTGTTCACATCTTTAACAGGTAAGAGCAACACATTCATTATAGAAAAATTAGAATATACAGAAGCATAAAGAAATAAAAGCTACCTATATTTTACAAGGTTGATGTATTAGTGAGGATAGTCAGAAAGCACCAAACAACAGTGCCTTACACAAGATCCTTTATTTCTTCTTCAAGTAAAAGTTTGGAGGTTTGCAGACTGAGGTTGGTGTGGGTTCTGCTCCTCGGTGTCTTTAGAAGCTCAATTTTCCCCAAGCTCATGGCGCAGCTGTTCCTAGGGCATGGCCCCATTTTTCATGGTCCAGGCCAGAATGCACCCTCCCTGAAGCAGGATGGAGGGTGGGATGAAGAAGAGGCATGGGGCTGATTGTCTCTTTAAGAAAGATTCCCAAGTCTTTGCTATTGTAAACAGTGCTGCAATGCACATTCGTGTGCATGTGTCCTTAGTAGGGACATGGATGAACCTGGAAACCATCATTCTCAGCAAACTGACACAAGAACAGAAAATCAAACACCGCATGTTCTCACTTATAGGCAGGTGTTGAACAATGAGAACACATGGACACAGGGAGGGGAGCATCACACACTGGGGTCTGCTGTGAGGAACTAGGGGAAACAGAGTGGGAGGTGGGGAGTTGGGGAGGGATAACATGGGGAGAAATGCCAGATATAGGTGATGAGGAGAAAGGCAGCAAACCACATTGCCATGTATGTACCTATGCAACAATCTTGCATGTTCTTCACATGTACCCTAAAACCTAAAACACAATAAAATATATTTAAAAAAAATGCTTAAACTCAAAAAAAAAAAAAAAAAAAAAAAAAAAAAAGAAAAGAAAAGAAAAGGAAGAAAGATTCCCAGAACTTGCCCTGCGGCGGCACATCCATGATCTTCCCTTTGTTAGAAGATAGTCAGGAGACTATGTTTTGCTGCATTAGAGCCTGGGAAATGCAGTCTTTATTCTCAGCAAGGGGAAGATAGGTAGGATCATCTGTCAGAATTTGTCACAGTTACACTGTTGGTGGGAGTGTAAATTAGTTCAACCATTGTGGAAGATGGTGTGGCAATTCTTCAAGGACCTAGAAATAGAAATTACATTTGACCCAGCAATTCCATTACTGGGTATATATCCAAAGGATTATAAATCGTTCTACTATAAGGACACATGCACACGAATGTTCATTGCAGCACTGTTTACAATAGCAAAAACCTGGAACCAACCCAAATGCCCACTGATGATAGACTGGACAAGGAAAATGTGGCACATGTACACGATGGAATACTATGCAGCCATAAAAAACGATGAGTTTATGTCCTTTGTAGGGACATGGATGAACCTGGAAACCATCATTCTCAGCAAACTGACACAAGAACAGAAAATCAAACACCACATGTTCTCACTCATAGGTGGGTGTTGAACAATGAGAACACATGGACACAGGGAGGGGAGCGTCACACACTAGGGTCTGTTGAGGGGAAATAGGGGAGGGACAGCATTGGGTGCGGAGTTGGGGAGAGATAGCATGGGGAGAAATGCCAGATATAGGTGATGGGGAGGAAGGCAGCAAATCACACTGCCACGTGTGTACCTGTGCAACAATCTTGCATGTTCTTCACATGTACCCCCAAACCTAAAATGCAATTAAAAAAAAGAACTTGTCACAGTTATTTCCTTGAATTGGAAATAGAGGAATGGCTAGGCTAGAAGTTATGCCCGTTTTCATGATTCTTGAAGCATATTGATACATTTGCCTTCAGAAGTTCTGTGCATGTTTATACTCACAATGAGATCCATGAGTACTTTGTACTAAACACCAAATAATCAAGCCATTCAGTGTTTCCTCTATGGCTTTGCTGTGGGCAAGAATGTAATGAAGAAAGTGTTCAGTGTTTGATGGACCAGGGCTTTATTGTCAGGACTTTTTTGGCTGCAAGTGACAGATGGCTTATCAAAAGTGTTGGAATTTATTCAAATATTTAGAATGATTTAGTATTAGGGTTGGTGCAAAAATAAGTGCGGTTTTTGCCATTGAAAGAAATGGAATAGAAAAATAGGAATCTGAAGGTGGAGAATTAAAAAATGAAGTTCTGGAGAGGAATGGGAGAGAAGGATTATATGTGTAGTTGTAAAAATTTTGGTACCTAAAGAGAGAGGATGAAATGTAAGATGATGTCCTCCTAATGTCAGTGGATGGACTTTTACACATACGTTTTTTTATCAATGGCCACATTCTAGGCAATACCCTAGGTGCTTTTTATAATCCTTTCTTGAATTTCTATAGCCATTTGGGTAGGCATATATTTTTATGTATTCATTTTTTACACACAATGAAGTCAAAGCTCAAGAAAGTTCAAGTTAGGGTAGAGCTAGAATTTAAACCCCACTCTGTCAGACTTCAGAGTTTGACTCTTACCCCTCTTACTCTTTTTTTTTTCACCCAGGCTGGAGTGCAAAGGTATGATCTCGGTTCACTGAAACCTCCACCTTTCAGTTCAGGCCATTCTCCTGCCTCAGCTGCCCGAGTAGCTGGGATTATAGGCACGTGCCACCACGCCCAGCTAATTTGTTGTATTTTAGGTAGAGACGGGGTTTCATCATATTGGCCATGCTGGTCTTGAACTCTTGACCTCAGGTGATCCATCCGCCTTGGCCTCCCACAATATAGGGATTATAGGCATGAGCCACTGAGGCTGGCCTCCCCTCTTAAGTGTGAACTGATAAAAACAATTTTGGCAAGGAGTTCACTTTTGCTATAGCACTTGAATTAACTGAAGGCTATAAAAAGACATTATCAAATCTTGAAAAATGAAGTACTGTAAAGGCAAGGAAGAACCTCATGAGATTTTCTTTTCCAGGAGCCCTTCTCTGACCTGGGTTGGCCACCTGCTCCTCCTTTCTCATAGTACTCTGTTTTCACCCTAAGACAGTTCTTATCTTTATTGTGGTTGTCTATTTCCTTGATTGTCTCTACTGCCAGATTATCTCTTGAGTGTCAGGTATCAGATCTTACACATCTTTATATTACCAGGAGCCAGCACAGTGTCTGGAACATTGTAGGTGCTCAATAAATATTTGCTGAATAAATTGGACAGGGATTTATTCCATGGTTATATTTATACATATTACTGAAAGAGATTTTAAAAATAAACTTACTACATGATGCCAAATTTTCAGAGACTTACAATAATGACTAGACTAGTATAAAGTTATGATTCTGACCACGGTTATAAACAGAATGTTTATAAGGCAACTGAACCTGTGAATAATACTGAGTGCCTACAACATGACAGGCTGTTTTGAGTGTTTAACATTTTATTATTAGCTTTTCACAAAAATCTTTTGAGGGAAATAATAAAATTATTATTCTCGCTTAGTAAATGGAAAAACCAGGACGTGAACTTAGGCAGTACTGTTCTAGAATTTTTGTATTTAGCAACTAGGTTATTTTATATCGCCATTGTTTATTAGCTGTTTACGAGAAAAACAATCTTTTTGCATGACTCCATAGTGGCATTTTTTTTTTCTTTTACAAAGCACAGTTGAATTATCAAAATCAAGAACTTACTGTTTATACAGGACTCTATTCTACAGCAGTTAATTAAATTTCGGAAATTATTCCATTAATGTCATAGTAGCATCTTATAATGAAGACTCATAGATCCTTTTCCTGTTGCTTTGTCTGTCCACCGGAACTTCCTTTCCAACGAGGGAACAGACTCCAAGGCAACCCTAAGTATCTTGGGAAATTGCTGCTTTTATACCTGAGCAACCTCCAAACTGAAGAGTGATTTGGTGTCACCATTTTTCCTTACTGTCCTTCATAACCAGGGACTCGTATTTTTAAATTTTTTTTTCTCCTAAAAAAAAAATAACCGTTCAATTGCACCTTCCAGGTGCACTCTTGGTCTTGCCAGGGGCTTTCCGGGCACAGACCCTGCATCCTCGCAGAGCGGCAGCCGGCGGAACTACACTTCCCAGCGGGCCGCGCGCCCTTTTTCCGACAGGCACCACTCAAAATCCGGAGACGTCTTGCGGGGCAGTGTGGGAGGAAGAAACCTGGGGCGGACAGGCCGGGCCCGCCAGCGGTCTCACATCTCGAGATGGCTGGGAGGCAGGAAGAGCAGAGAGGGAGTGCGCCCTTGAGGGCGGAAGGCGCGGCCGACGCGGAGGTTAAGCTCATTCTGTACCACTGGACGCATTCCTTCAGCTCTCAAAAGGTACAGGCCTCGGCGGCAGAAGGCGGCGCGGATCGGGCTTCAGCACCGGGACAGCTCCCGCTGGGTCCTGCCCCGAGATGCCGGTCCACCCAGAAACCCGTCTCCAGCGTCCTGACCCCCGCCAGGAGCTCCCTCCAGGCGGGAATGCGCACCTGTGGGTAGCGGGGAGAATCGGTCTGAGATGATTCTAAGTGGCTATGATCCAGGCATTGCCTCTCGCGAAACGCGACAAAAAAAAAAAAAAAAAAAAGGCATCATTTTCAGTATTTGGCCTGGAGGCCTTGTCTGCTGGGCCTCGGAGGGAGGCAGAAGGAGGCGTCTTCCTGCACCTGCTTAATCTGCGATCACTTCTTTTATTCTCCTGCATTCACTCTCTTTAGCAAGAGCTCTTGTACTTGCATGGCAGGCTCTTGTCAGGGGAGGACCCATAATCAGGTTTAGGACACCAAGAAAGTGGTGGTGATGAGGAGGGTGGCTGTTTAATGAATACATTCGGAATCGTTTTCATTACTTATTTTGTTCTCTAAATTATAAGACGGTAGAATATTGTTCTGTGCTTACTTGTTAATTTCAGGAATAGGAATCTTTAAAACGACTGTTGAAAATGTTAATAACACAGGGAAGCCCAGAAAGGCTGCTTAGCGGTGTCCAGGGAAGTCATTTAATTGAAAGCTTACATGTGTTGTAGTAACCAGTGTGAACTCTTCCAGGTGCGCTTGGTAATTGCTGAAAAGGCATTGAAGTGCGAGGAACATGATGTAAGTCTGCCCTTGAGTGAGCACAATGAGCCTTGGTTTATGCGTTTGAACTCAACTGGAGAAGTGCCTGTCCTTATCCACGGGGAAAACATAATTTGTGAGGCCACTCAGATCATTGATTATCTTGAACAGACTTTCCTGGATGGTAATGTTAAGGCTACTTGTGATTTCTTGGATTTACTTTCAACACTATGTTACCTTTCTCCTTTTCTTTCTTTCCTCTCTCTCTTTCTCTTGTATCATGATGGTGGTTTGGGATTAAAAGCCTTTTCCATTTCCATAAGCACACAAATATCAAATAGGTCAATAACAAATTTGGTATAAGCTAATGTAACACAACTTGAAAGAATTTCATGTAAAGTACAAATGTTAATGTTGAAACTTAAAAAAATTCACTTGCAAAAAACTGCAGATGTGTGGTTTGTGTTGGTGATTTCTTAGCCTTAAATTCATAATATTCATTATAAATGTACACTATGACAATCTCATCTAATATACAAAATGGGTTCCACCTTAAAAACAAGAGGGAAAAAAGAGCAATAAATCTTAAAGGAGAATAGAATGTTAGTATACCCAAGTTCTTCGCCCCAGTCACTTCTGAATTGTTTGAATTTTGTATTTTTACTAAGGAATTATAGGGCTTAAATCTGTATAGTGCATTTAAGTAAATCATTTATTGGCAGCTTGTTATGTGTCAGATATTTTATAATTTCTATACTATGTGATCTTTCAAAAGAATCTGTCTGAGACAGGCATGGTAGACAAGTTATTCCCATTTTGTATGTGAGGAGAAAGCAACAGGGTTGCCCAAAGTAATATAGCTATAGTATGGCAGAGTCTTTGGTCTCTAAAGCCTTCCTACTACACTGTCTCCCATAGTCTTAGCCACTTACACATTGTCTTGCTTGTGTCTAATAATAATCCTTGAAGTGAACTGTAGCTTCGAGGATTTACCCAAGATTACACAGCTGATCAAAACGGACTTTGCTGAGAGCAGAACATGGGGCTCAGAGCTTCCAGCTGAGTGCTCTTTTAAAAAGGCTGCGTATGAGATTCAGTTACTTTTCATCTGCCAGCAGTTATGTTGATGTGAATAGGGTGGGATGAAACCAGAATCTAGCCCCAAACTACAGGAAGCTGACAAAGAAAATTACTAGGACAAAAAAAAAAGTCTCAGGTACTTAGAAGGAAAATGGTTATGAGGCCTAGATGATGGGCAGTGGGGCAGGGGGAAGCCCAGGGAATACGATTAGCAATGGGCTACCCTGATTCTTAATCTAAGTGCTAGTCCCTTGGGATTGTGATTGGAGTTTTTAATTAAAGGTAGCTTTGGCCTAAACCAAAGCATTTTATGATGTGCTTCCCCTTCATCTTTATTTGCTATTCTTTGTAAATTTCTATACTGGGGACTATACTGAAAATGATGACTAGTTCATTTAGGACAATTTTTCTCAATCTTGAGCTTTTTGGAAATGGATAAGTCTGTTAATAATTTGTATTTCTTGGGAGATGTGATTATAATTGAACAAAACAAAATAATTATGTTAATAATTCTATTTTAAATGATCAAAAACTTTAACAAGATATTCTAAATGGAAACTCCTATTTAAATTTTTTGGTAGCATTGCTTGAACTACTTGCTTCTACTATCATCATTCCCCTCCTCCATCCCCTCCTTACACTGTTTTTTCTCTAATAAATTGATATAAACTATAAGTTTCTCTAAGAAAGTGGTATAAAGTATATTTACAACATAGTAATGTTACTGATTATTAGGTTTTCTTAAAAATTTCCTTAGTCTTTCTTTTTTCTTTTAGTACAGAATAATAACACAGAAATACATTCTGTGTCCTGCTAAGTTGTATTTAAATAACCAAAGGAAATGCTAACTTCTTTTGATTAGTGTTCATTGAATTAGAAGAGAAGGCACTGTAGGCTGTGACAGGATGGAAATATGGAAACCACAGACCTTAATTTTGGTTGAGCTATTATTATAAGTCAGCAATCAAGAGTCCTAGCCTTTAGTCTGATGCTGCCACTAACTTGTTGAATATCTTTCAATCAATTAGGAAGGTTGAAAAATATTAAGGGACCTAAAACTTATGGTAGATAGGAAGACAGCAAGAAAACAATAGTTATATAAATCAAGGCTAAGTTATATAAGTCAAGGTCAAGAAGAAGTTTATCTCAGAGTAATTAAATTTTAAAAACAGTGTTTTCACAATTATAATTAAGGTAGACAAACATCATCCTATTGTCAAAGACGGGGAAAGGTAAATTCTACCAACCCTTGCTACTTAATGTATGTTCCATTCATCCGTAACATTGGCATCACCTGGGAGCTTGTTAGAAATGCAGAATCTTAGACCTCTCTGCAGATCATCAAATCAGACTCTTTAACAAGAGCCTCATGTCATTCGTATATACACTAAAGTTTGAGAATACAGCTATAAATTACTGTGTAAGCTTTAAGCATTGGTGTAATTGACTGTCTTTAAATCTGGCAGAAATCTAGAATAGATTGTGAAAAGTTATTTAAATATGTTTTACATTTTTGTGTATCTCAGTGAAAGGAACCAGTTTCAGTTTTATACTGCTGGAGAATGTCACTAACACTTTTTTAAAAAACCGTCTATTATGTGCCAGGCATGGTTCTAGTTATAGTGTATCTTGGTTGAAGTAGAACATTTGAGATTACTTTATTTATACCCTTGTGGAATAAAGGGGCAGATAGAGCTAGAAGATTATAATGCACATTTGCAGATGAATAAACTACCACGTTAAAGAATATTAATTTATAGATTTCTTACACCAGATTACCTCCTCAACTATAGACTTTCATTTTACTTACAATTGTTTTTATCATACTTTATTTTAAATGTTTGAATTGTACAGCACTGTGAGTACCATGAGGTTGGGAACAGTGTATCTTATTAAAAACTATCGCCAATGCTTTATACAGTGAATGTTTCTTAATAGGTGCTTAATAAATATTTTGAATGTTTAAAATGAATGAATTTTTGAGACAAGGGATCCATGGATAGGGGATCTTGTAGGCTTCTGTTCTTGTAGGCTTCTGTTCTGACTTAAGCCTAACGAGTCAATGACTTGAATAAAGACTGAAGAAATACGATTATATTTGTGAATGACAGAAAAGGTAAATAGTCAAAATGATGACTAACTTATAAAATATTTCTTATGGAAATACAGCAACATGGGAAAATAAAATTTAACAAAGGTAAATGTAAAATGTGTATGAAGAAAACGGGTATGAGGCTTTTGTTTTAAAAAAAACAGCTGCATTCAAAAAGGATGGGGAACCTGGTTGACAGATAGTAAATTGCCAATGTTAAACAAATGGCTAGTGTGATTTCAGGTTGTTTGAAAATTATAGATTTTTATTGAGAACAGGGTGAGTTGTAACCCTCTGCATTCTGAGCTGTTTGTAATATTTGGCATTTTGTCCAATTATGGATGTAACTTCGAGGAATATTGATGAGATAGAATGATAATAAGTGGATGGATTTCATGAGGTGCACAGTCGCCCATGGTCATGATAGGAGACTGAAAGTGTAGCTGTGCCTCTGAAGAACAGAATTTAGTAAACTAGTATGTCCTTCACTGCTATTCGCTGTCCTCTGTTACTGATCCACTGGGGATTATGCCAAAAATGATGACTTGCTGGTCTGGAGACATTCCTCAGCTTTTCTGTGTTTATACTTACATATTTATATCCTTGCGCTTTTGGGATAGTTCATTAAATAGTTGGTAGTTTGATAGCTGAGGTGATCCAAGTCATAGCCTGAAATAGTGAATATCTGTTAGATAATGGCTATGTTCCTGAGGACAAAACTTGGGTCAAAGGAGGAATTTCAAAGTATTCAGTTATGGCTGCCAAACTAAGAGCTGGCCAAGAGCTGTCTCTTCATTCTTTCAGTAACCATTTATTGGGTATTAATTGGATGTAGGGTCCTGGGATACTTCAGAGATATTTTAAAGATCCTAAATCATTAGAAGCTTGCTAATCTTCAAAGATAATTTCTTTCTACAAATTTGGTGATAATTCCAAATCTGTCCTTAACATATATACACATGCTATTACTGTTCAGTTTTACAGAGTCTTTCATGTACATGATACCGCTTTAAGTTTGGGCATGTGGTGAAGAATAGTTATTTTACAGCAAGCAATTGATTAAGCTAGATGAGGTATGAGAGTAAGCAAACTAGGTAAACTGAGGAAGAATGGATGTGACAAGGTGAATGTACATACAAATATGGATTTTTCAATCTAGCTATTGTACTCATAACTTCTTTAAATAAAATTTAACTTGGCTACTAATCAAAAATATGTGAAATAACTATAAAATACTAGAATATGTGATATTTATTACTACCAAATAACTCTGGTAACCTGGAATCAAGGATATCATAAGGTGAATAATGGATTTTTGTAGTTTAATATAACAGTTCTCTGAACATCACATACATGTCTTATTTCTAAGTATGTAATTTATTCTAGGAAATAGAATTTGGTTTGGAAATAAACTATTCTAGCATGATATTAAAATCACATAAATCTTACTAGGATATGTAAATTTATAGATACAATGTTATCTATAAAATATAAATAAATGTTATATTTGAATTTCATCAAATATATTTAAAAAAGAACATTAGTTCTGATGTCACTGTTAGATTAAAATAGTTATTTAAGGAATTACCAATTAATATTTACATTTATATTCATCAATAAAAGGCTCTTGTGTATAGTTGAATATAGGCCTTTTAGCACATATACTGAAATTGTAGATTACCGTGAAGTATGGAGAAAATACACCATATGACATGGAAAAGAAGATCAGTCTTTAATAACTGTCAGTAAAAGTTGCTTTAAAAGTAACTTTTATGTTCTTTGTGATTTGTCCAATTTTAGCAGACAGATTGGGGTACTAAAATTCAGAGGTCCTCTTTCTATATCGTGTGCATCAAACAATTGGAACAAACTGACAAAGGAGTTTTTGCTTCCTTCATTATGAATGTTTCTGTTAAGTCTTAACTATAATACCAGTTAAAAATAGTTAAACATTTAATGTATAATACATACAATTTATTAAAAACAATGCTATAAATTTGTCTCAAAATCCTGGATGCATACACTGAACTGATATAATTTGACACCAGGTTATTGTTTTTTTTTCCTCATCTGTATTTAGATTTGCTCTTTCTAGTTCCAGAGTTATGACAGCATTGAATTGTAATCCGTTAGTAACTGTGTCTTTTGCCTCAGGTCATAACTTAATTGTTCAACATCATCATTATATATTTTTAATAGCCTAGTGTGTGACTGGTTGAAAGGTGCAATATTGTCCGGCTGCATTATGCATATTATCTTATATACTGATGCAATCACTATACAGTCTAAGCAAAATAAACAGCAAAAGGCTAGAGTGAGGAATGAAACCTAATTGGTTTCCATTGAGCCAGTAAGGGAGACTTGAAAGTTGTACAAGTAGGCCTGGGGGAGTCTTTCTTGAAAGCAAGGCATAATAATGCCTCCTTTATCTGCCTTTACTAGGAAACATGGGTAACCAGAGTAGTGAATTTAGTAAAATAATGAAAGCTTGTGCCTTTAAGCCCTTAATTTCTTTTTATTTTTTACTCTTGGGAAAACCAAATGTAATTTAAAAAAATGGCTCACAGCCATTGTTATTTTACTCAGCATTACAAGGACTTGAGAATGCACAGGCCCATTTATCTCCATTACATGGCTACAGAACGCTTTTATTGTTTCTTTCTGATTTTTTTTTTTTTTTTTTTGCTTCTTTTGGTTTCTTCTGCTATTTATCAAATCTTTCTGCTTTATTTCTATCTGCTGGTTTATAATTTGCTGCCTAAATTTATGTGTAATATAAAACTTGTCTTCCTACTCAGTTCTTCTAGGAAGTCGGGTCTTGTGCCAGTTTATTTGTTCTTCCAGCTTAATCACCAAGCCTGATATCCATTATTGCAACCCCGCTCCCCAGTTCTGGGACCTCTTCTCATTGCCTGCTTCTTAAAACTCGAATTCCCTCTCCTGCCCCAGTATGTCTTACGTTGCTTTTCCACTCCTGATTGAGGTTGATTACTGAGTAAAAAATTCTTGCCTTTAGTATTTTGATAAAAGTGCTCTATGGAAGGACTGGAAAATAAAATCGGATGGGATTGAGAGGGAAGATCTCCTCTATAATTGAAAGGAAATTCCCAGTTGTCTTTTGAAAAACTTTTATCGGAAGCAGCAGACACTGTTGTGCTCTGGTGTGAGGAGGAGGATGGCAGCGCAGTGCCCATGTGATACAGAACAAGGCATCCTTGATGTGCCTGAGGAGGCAGGGAGATGGAGAGAGAAGTTGGCTTCAGTGTGTATCCTATGCTCTGACAGAGTGCTTCAGGAAGTTGTTAGATAGTAATGGCACACTGAGTAGAAGAAAATTATTTTTATGGATTAAACATTTGTCCTCCTTGAAGAATTTGGATTTGGCCAGATGGAACTTCCCCAGAAAGCAATTAGACATTGTTTTTCCTGCTCTCATTCACTTTCCTAGGAAGGAAATGATAAGCTCTTCTGGAGAGAAGCCCCATAGACCGGCGCCAGTAAGCAGCCAGAGCCACTAGCCGTTACTTTGACCATATGGGAAGCATTTGAAAATGTACCATTTAATGGTTATTAGCCTGAGGTTCTTGGGCCCCTAAAGCATTAATTCTTAAACTTTTTGGTCTCTAGAGCCTGTTGTTTCTGAGGACACCAGAGAGCATTTGTTTGTGTGGATCATAACTATCGATATTTACCATTTAGAAAGTGAAACTGAGAAAACTTAAAATATCAGCCTACTTAAGCACAATCCCACTAGCTGTCAGAGTGATGGAGTCATCTTTCCTGTAGCCTCTGGGAACTTTTGCTGTACACTTGAGAGAGAGTAAGAGTGAAAAGTAATTAACATCTTAGTATTTTGGTAAAAGTAGCTTTGACTTTGTAGATCCCCCACAAGTGTTTTAGGAAAAGCCAGGGATCCTTAGACCACAGTGTGAGAACTGTTGCCCTTAGTGGTTTATGAATAGAATTCAGCAGATTTGAAATCTTGGATGGGGAATAATTGTATCTCTGTTTAAAGGAATCGTTTCCTTCCATTAGCAATGTAGGCACAATCCATGGCAATATCAGGAGTGCCTGTGGCTTTGATAACCGATGGAAATCACAGATATGTTCATAGTTAAGTTATTGCAGATATCTTAATACTTTGAAATTGTGGTAGTTATTAAACCTGACATTTTTTAGGGGCAGTTTGAGAGCCAGAGGTAGGAAAAGATTCTGAAGGGACGTGGCCCTGATCTTTGGGTTGCATCTTTCACTTTTATTCTTTTTGGATAGTCTCTGAAATGAAAATCCTTTGAAGATGTTATGATGGTATAGTCAAAGAGATCATTACATTAGGAATCAGATGACTTTAGTTCTCGCTCTGCCTCTGATTAGCTGTAGGATCTTGGGAAGATGTTTTCAGCCCTTGCATCTCAGTGTACTTTTTAACTACTGCAGTGCTTCTCCAGCTCAAGTAATCTATAATAATTGGAAATTTTGGAATGTATTTATTATAATTTATTAAACATCTACTGCATGTCAGACATTATATTAGGCACTGGGGATTTAACAGAGAGCAGTACATGGTCCCTACCCTCAAGGACTCTATAGTCTGGATTTTAACTAGCAAATAAAGATATATATAGAACCCACTTGCCAGAGATAATTGTTAGAAATTCCTGGGGAAAGCGCACCTGATATATTTGAGCAAGTGCCTTTCCTGTTCCATGTGGATTGTCACTTCACGCTCCCATGTGTCAGCAGGGTCACTCTTGATGTTGGTTGGCACCTAGAAAAGAGTAGCCCCTGATTATCTTCCCATAATGAGTCCTCATTCAATTAACTAAACTTCACTGAGTGCCTAAAGTGTGTAAACTGTGCTAGACTTTGGATTGTAGGTTCCTTTCCCTGAAGACAGTCATAGGGCAAAAAGATGCAATGAATTACAGTGTGATAAGGGCTGTAACAGAGTGTATATAATGTATTACGGATGTATAGAAGAAGGCACATATGAGCCAGTCAGATATTGGCAGTAGTAGGAGGCAAGGGAATGCTTCCTGGAATAAATGGCATAAATAACTGGGCCTTGAGGGCTGAATGCAGTTTGCAAGGTGGATAAATGAGAGAATACCAACGTGATTATAATTTGGGATCTTGTCTGGTGCATCAGGCCATTTCAAACTTTGAATGTCTGGGGAGACAACATTTTTTGAATATACAGATATGTTGAAAATGATTGGTTAGTGTTTTTGTTTTGCTTTTGAGTGTTAACAATTCATTTGTAACTTTTTCTTCAATATTTGTGTGTGCATTTTAGAAAGAACACCCAGGTTAATGCCTGATAAAGGAAGCATGTATTACCCACGGGTACAGCATTACCGAGAGCTGCTTGACTCCTTGCCAATGGATGCCTATACACATGGCTGCATTTTACATCCTGAGTTAACTGTGGACTCCATGATCCCGGCTTACGCAACTACAAGAATCCGTAGTATGTAAACATTTTAAAGACCTGAAATTCTGTCTGACACTTTCTTTTAACTCATTTTGAGACCTAGCATGTTTCATGGTCACTAAAAGAAGATTGGGAATAGGGTTGTTGAGTTTGCTTTATGGATGTGCCTATTATGGATCAATCAGTGAACCAGTTGGATTAATCTGTGCTTAACTTGCTCAGTTGGACATACATTATCTATAGGACTTGATTGATCAGCTTCTGGCTTTGAGGGCCAAGCTTGGGTAAAACTCAGGAGAGTGGGTTATGGAAAAGTAAGGAATATAACATGTTCTCATGAACAGATGGACTAGGAATCTGAAGATCTGGGATCTGCCTAGGATTATGGGCAGTTGAGTTCACATTTCTAGTCCTTAATTTGTTGTTTCATTATGTGAGGAAACTGGACTAGAGGGTGTCGAACTATTGCTCTATGTTCAGTGTTAGGAGATTTATTGGGATTGATTTGTGACATCCAGCTTTCTGCCTTCTTCCTGTCATGAGGACAGTCAGTGCATGATCTGCGGAACAGGAGGTGTGCTTTATAGCGCAGGTGATTGGGGATAAGAAGGGAAAGGATGGTGGCGCAGGGGTCACACAGCTCAGATCTCCTGAATCCAGAAACCGTTTTTTCCCCATTATATGATACTCGCCTTTATGTTCTTAGATTATTTTTTTCCTTTTTGATATGTCCCCTTTTCCTCTCCTCTCCTCTGCCCTCCTTCCTTTTCACCGCTTCCTTTTTCTTTCTTCTCTTCCATTCTCTTCTCCACTGCCCTCTTTTCCTGCTTCTCTTTCCTCTTATTCCTCCTCCTCCTCTTCATAAATACCCTTTATATGATTTGAAACAAGAGTTCTGACTATAATTCTATCAACTATAGTTAATACTTTAAAAAAGTAAGGCTTTTTCCTCTCTTCACACAGGAGTTCATTATAGAAAGCTTGAAAGGTAGAGGAAGGCAGAGCAGCGAGCGTGCACTGAACTCTGAAGTGCTGGGCCTTGGCTCTAAGTGCTTCCCATGAAGCTTCTCATTTAGTCTCTGCCCTGCTTGGCAGATATTCTTATAGTTCCGTTTGAAATATGAGGAAACTGAGGCATAGACAGGGTAAGCCCAAGGCAGAGAAGCAGGGCATGAGCCCCAGAGCTCATGCTCTTGTCACTGAGTTTCTCTGCTTCTCCTTGTTTCTGGTGTAGAAGGGAGAAAATAATTTTCTGTTGCCAAAATGTTTTTATTATCAGGCCAGATTGGAAACACAGAGTCTGAGCTGAAGAAACTTGCTGAAGAAAACCCAGATTTACAAGAAGCATACATTGCAAAACAGAAACGACTTAAAGTAAGTCAGTCAGCTGTCCTCAGTTGACACACGCTACGTGTAGTAAATGTTCTACTTATTGTAAAGCACCACTATTTCTAGAACATCGCTTAAATGTTGCAGTTCACCAGTGCACATGTTACCTTTGGCTTATGCTCTCCTTTTAGAAAGAACGTTTTATTAGATTTGATATTTAAACTTGATGACAAGTGTGCATTGCCAAAACAAGTTATGAAATGCAAAGGAAGTTCATAACATATTCTAGAATCTGTCATTTCAGGTATTCCACCACTGTAAGGCCTCACTAGACCTACATCCCTCCAGGTGTCACGCTGACTGGCTTTGCCCCCCGAGGAGCGTGTGTTATGGTCAGCCTTTCTCCTTCTGTTGATTCCTTCCTCGGGCCCAGCAACACATGCAAACTTCTCTCATAGTAAAATTGTAGAAAATAGCAGCACTCCCAACCCTCCCCAGCCTCTCACCTTCCTTTATCTTATCTTAGCTAAATGAGCTCCCCGAAAGAAATACCTGCACTCACAGTTACTTGACTGACTCTCCACCAGCCCTTTAACTCCTTGCACTCAGACTTTTCCTTGTCTCTGACCCTTCAGCTACTCTTTCAATTACAGCTGCTGGAATTCTTCTGAGTTGTGCTTGGCAGATGCCTCTTCACGTCCCTTCCATTCTTTGCCTTCTCTGGTCATCTGGCCTCATAGGAGCTGCCAGTGAGTGGTGGCATTTTCACAGTTGGAATATTTCCCTTCAACTTTGCTTTCTTTTTCTTTCTTTTTTCTCTTTTGCTGAGTTTTTCTGTTTCTTCCCATTGTCTAAAATAAACAGGCTCAACTCTGTAAGAATTTATATCTGCTTTGGTTTACCTGGATCTTTTTTTTTTACAGGTGTAAATAATCTTTTTTTTTTTTTTGTGGTTAATTAGTCAAAGCTGCTCGACCATGACAATGTCAAGTATTTGAAGAAAATTCTTGATGAGTTGGAGAAAGTCTTGGATCAGGTTGAAACTGAATTGCAAAGAAGAAATGAAGAAACCCCAGGTAAGTTCCCATATATATTCTTTTTCTCTTTTCAATATCGGTATTACTCATGGGAACATTCTTAAGTCTCACCAAAAACATTCTGTAATCTGCTTTTCATTGTTGTTATTTATGGGCAGTTTTAATTATGATAGCAACAATCATATTGTACCCAGAAAAACCCAGGTGTCTAATTGTAACTCAATCTCTATCTATGTGAAGGATTTTTCTGCACAATTTAAACTATATTTGGGAGAGTTTTACCTAACTGTTTTACAAATTTATAATTATAGTAGTTTGGTTGAATAACTTGAATAATTGCTTGAATGTTCCCTCTAGTTTTTTCCTTAGGCAAGGAGATAGCCTCCAGTCCAAAGTGGACTAAGGGGGCCAACACTGAGCGTCTGTAGACTGGCTGGTGAGCATGCATGTGCCAGTGAACTGACTTCAGGGTTAAGCCATAATCACTTCAGGATACACATGGGCCATTTGTGCTACTCTGACCAGAGTTAAAGACCATGTTACCTGTCACAAATGCTCTTATACTTTAAATGACTGAGAACATAGCCACCGAGTCTTGTTTCAGACTCAGCTTTATGGATTTTTCTAAAGCAGAACTGTTTTTTTTTTTTAACCAGAAGGAAGTATCTTTTAACTGGCTTAGAGACTCCCAACCCCTTAGTATCCTTTACAAAGTGATAGGTTCAAGTGGCTGCAGTTTTACGTAGGGACCTGGATGGCTGACAGACGCCTAGCAAGTCTCCTTTAGCTTCAGATCATTTGCTTGGACTTTTTTTTTTTTTTTAAAGCATGAAATTACTCTCTGAATGTGGTGGTCAAGAAAATAAATATATCATGGCCTTCATCTTTTGCTATCCTCATGCTCACCCTTAAGGACGAGACCACTGATGCCAGCTGGAGTCTGTCTGTAGAGTGCTTGCTTCTAATTCTCTGTGTCCCTTTCTCTAATTAGAAGAGGGCCACCAACCTTGGCTCTGTGGTGAATCCTTCACCCTGGCAGACGTCTCACTCGCTGTCACATTGCATCGACTGAAGTTCCTGGGGTTTGCGAGGAGAAACTGGGGAAACGGAAAGCGACCAAACTTGGAAACCTATTACGAGCGTGTCTTGAAGAGAAAAACATTTAACAAAGTTTTAGGACATGTCAACAATATATTAATCTCTGCAGTGCTGCCAACAGCATTCCGGGTGGCCAAGAAAAGAGCCCCAAAAGTTCTTGGCACGACCCTTGTGGTTGGTTTGCTTGCGGGAGTGGGATATTTTGCTTTTATGCTTTTCAGAAAGAGGCTTGGCAGCATGATATTAGCATTTAGACCCAGACCAAATTATTTCTAGGCTTGTTGGGATCTTGTGGTGGCAGCTCATCCAAGCATTTAGCTAGACCTTGTGATTGCCCATAGCTCTCTTGAGTCTGTTTTATTGAGTAGTTAGCAGTATTTTTTCCCTAAAATTCAGAAGTCATCTTTGTTATACAACACAGGAGTTTAGATAGCAATAGGACACAAAATTGCTTCATTCTCCAACTGCCAGCTCCAGGCAGAAATAGCAAGGCAAAGAGATAAGAGTAGGAAAAATGAGAGAATGAAGTCTGTGTAGGGTAGAGCCATAGAATATAATCTTCGGGAGCCTCCAGCATTCATGGCTGCCTGTCCCATTGCTAACCATCACATTTAGCTACGTGTGGCCACTGCCCACACGTACACTTCTGTAATTGAGAACACTTAGGAGAGAACTAGGGAATCACTGGGGGTAGTGGGCTGGAGAGAACCCCAGGCTTTATATGTATAGCACCTCATTTGACCTCAGTGTTAATTTTAAATGCTTATGAAACACACGCATTGCTTTAGTAAGACTAAGTGCTTATATACTTGGGAATGTGATACTCATCGGAGCACATCTGCCTAGCATTTACTTAAAAGTCTTAATATTAAGATGATTCCTTCCCATTTAAGATGGTTTCCAATTTGAATCACCAAATGGTAATGGTTCCTTACTGTTTTAGATGATGCCTGTGAGATATCATTTCTCTGGATGATCACGTCCAGTCAGTGGGGTTAGGAAGGGTGGCCTCTATAGCCCTCTTCATGCACATAAGTGACATATAGATGAATATCCCAGCTAATCACTAGCATGTCATATGGCTGGGTAGTGGGTATTTTGATGATCTGGGAGTACCAAATATGATCCTTCTTCATTTGGGGAGGCTGGTGTGTTAACACAAAAATTATTGTCCAGATCTTTCATCTGTTTATGATCACCAACAAGGACTTGTTAGAAAGGTCTAGTCTTAGCACTTGGCAGTTAATCTAGGGAAGATGAATTAAATGGACAGATAGTGATGCATACTTGAATTCACTCATGTATGTTTAAGGGATTTGGGTGGGGGGGATCCCTCAGTTCATCTGGAAGGGACAGTTCGTGGGTCCTATGAATAACCATGGAACTTCAGCAAATCGTTTGTGCTCAGAAAAAGTCTTTCATGGTGGCAGGAAGGCAGTTTCCCTGGAGTTGGCCATGAAGGCCTTAGGAGCCATTTCCAGTGTCTGGTGGGTAGCATGCATAGAGATGATGTGCTCAGGTCCCAGCAAACAACAAAAAAGCTTGCTTGGACTGTCTTAGATGGGCTGCACAAAATAGCCAAAGAATGTACTAACTTTATTGTTAATAGGAAAGTGTTAATGTATCGTTAATAGGAAAGTGATACCTGTGAAACAACAACTCTTTGCTGGTAAAATGATTCTCTAATTTGATTTTGATGCTGTAATTCCATTTCATGAACGAGTTGTATTAGAAAATCTTGATGAACTATATGTTTCCAGTTTACAAAAAATTAATAAAACCGCCAGAGCAAACTCAGTCTAATAATAATTGAGTATCAGCTTTTATAATATTTTAAATTTGCACATTAGTGTGTCGTCACATAGAATGTCTGAACCTGTTAATGGGACATATGAATCCATGTATTCATAAGGGCCATAGAATTTATTATTCATTAGTTTATAGTGTTTGAGTTCTTTATATCACTCTGTTAGAAACAAGAACCGAGACGTAAATAAATAAAAATTGGATTTTTGTAAAAACCTTTGAAGGATATTTACCGGTGAAACAGTTGTTGGTTAAGAATAAAAATTAGAAGTCCAGGGTTAACTTTTCCTTTAATTTATATTATTCCTGAATCATAGGGAATCTTTCTAGAATGGGTTTATAATTTCCTTGCACAGTTTCTTTGGAAATAGGTTAAAAGATAGCGGCAATTTCATGTGTTTCATGGATACTCAATTTTGAGTTTTTGTGTTTAAGGTATTTGTTTAGGGACACAATGACCACTAGATGTCACTGTTCATCCAGGTGACTGAGATTGGGTGTTTTTGTTCAGCAACCCTTCCAAAATGTTTCAAGCAAAGATAGTAATGACCTCAGTTTCTGAAATAAGGGCATCTTCATCAGATTATTTATCTGTTTTTTAAAAAAGCTTGAGGCAAATGTGACTGATTTATAATGCTTTGAAAGGCATTACAGAACTACACAATGTCAAGCTAGAGTTAAACATACACTATTAGCTAAATAGGCACTTTTATGTATTTTATTTTTCATGATCATTGGTGACTGGTCAGTGTATTCCTCAATTTCCAAAATTTGTATGAATATCACAGTTAGAAAAATGCCTGAGGTACTAAAGTTAGGTTGGCTATTTGTGTCTTAACACACATAAATACTATTGTTATTGCAACAAATGCCTTTTGAATCCATTTTCCATAATTGCAGATAGTTGTAAATTGCTTGCTTAATTTTTAGTAATTATTGCTGTTGACACCAGAGTTGTAGATTTTTGGTGTTGTTGAATGCAATAGAGAGATCTGTAAGATCAATAAAAGTGATTGGAAAATAAATATGAACCCTAAAACAAAGTACTCATTTTGTAATCTTTTTTGGAAAACAGATGTACTTTTTAAAATTGAAAATCAAAGCATCATGTGGTAATTAAAAGGGTAAAATAAGCAGAGGTTAGATATTGAAGATATTTAGCCATAGGATGCCATATTTTCTTTATAACAAAATTGCTGACTCATGCTTCATTTAAATATGCACACTTAAAATGCAGCCTAAAAAATAACATTGATCCTGCTCATTAAAATAGCTCTGTTGCAGCTAGCCACCAACCAGGGGAGAACAAGAAAATGATGAACACTGAGTGTTTATCTTTGCAAAATAGTTTTCTTACATGTTTAACTGAGTTTCAAATATTACTCATATTTATGTATATTTTTGACATAGCTAATTCTCTTTTATTGAATATGGATTATGAATATCAAATCACCTTTCGCATTTCTAGCTTGGTAAGCATAGCCATTCAATGAAGTAGAAATTGCGTACTTCTGGTTTGCACCGAACAAAGCAAATTAAATGCGAGTCTAATTGGCATTGTTTTCCTTGAGTTTACAGACAAGAACAAAGGGCAACAATGCTGAATACTCGTGGAAAGTCACCAGAATATGTAACTTCGTAGTCTGCTCAGAAAAGAAAAACACTATGGTAAAGACATGAAGGTCAAATTAATGCAATAAATAAATCAGTATTCAGACATAACTATCATATTGTTTATGCCAACCAATGGTCCATTTACTTGATCTCTGCTTACCCATATCAGAATGTCTTGATTTTATAATACTCTAGAACAGTTTTTTCAATACGTAGGGTAGTAGATTCCAAACCAAGTGAGGAAGTGTAATTTCTAGTGTGAAGATAGTAGTTTTAATTATGTAATACATTATGAAAATGAAAAGAAGGAGTGAAAGAACTCAGTTTGTGGATTGGAAAGACAGTGCACGGATGACAGCAACATCCTTTATTGATTGCACCTAAGTTGGGGCCTGACTGTGTTAGGAGGGAGGAAAGATTGGCATTGATGAGAAGTCAGTGGGGTAGAGCAGCTCTGCAACGCTTGAGACAAAACGTGCCTGCAATGGGCCTTGATATACTCTTTAATTCAAGTAGGGTGGTTTATCTATCTCATTCACATTACCTTATCATAAAACTCCTTTGGGAAAGTTTTAAGTTTTTGTCTTCAGTCTTTTTATTGCTTATGCATTGATTCCTTAATTACAATGTGCCGTCATTAAAATCCCTTAGTAGGAGAGTCAATAGTATGGGTAAAAATATAAAGATCTTAGCGAAACATAATGCAAAGGGTCAGGTTTCCATGCCAAAAACAATATTAAAATCTATGTATTGAAGTTAATTTTTAACAAAGTAAAATTTTAGGTATATGGCCAGCATGTGTAAGTATAGTTTTTTTTGTATCTTCAGATTAAACGATCTTTTGAATTTAAGAATCTGATACTCAACAAAACTACTTGTAAACATTGCCAAATACGTGTCATAAAAATATGAGGACATGTTGTCAGAGAGCCTGCATTTACTAAGTTCAGTGCTGGAAAGAAAATGAAGGTTTGCATTAAGAAAATGATACGTGCTAAAAATGATTAGCACTGAAAGCAGAAGTGGATACATTGCAAAAATTCTTACTGCTCTACTTATTCCCTTGCAATGTGATGTTATAAACTTTCCCATCTAGTAATAGCATCTGCAGAAGAAGACTACATGAGGCCTATCAGAGAGCAGTTTATTAGAGATACTAGATATCAAGCGGTGCTGAAAATCACTGGAGGTTCATTTCAGGTAGAGTGGAAGGCCTCATTAACATCTTGTTAATCCCCTAGTCAAGATTAAGGACCATGGCCTACAGTAAGGCTTACCAGCATTTTTCAATCTTGGCCCTACTGATACTGTGAACCAGATAATTCTTTGTTGTGTGGAGCTGTCTTGTGTGTTGTAGTATGTTTACCAGCTTCCTTGGCCTCTACCTCCTAAATGCCTGTAGTGCCTCCCACCCCAATTGTGACAACTCAGAATGTCTTCAGATATGGCTGAATGTCACTTGGGGAGAAAAATAATCTCTAGTTGAAGACAACTGTTCTGCACTCACCCTAAAAAAGCCTGAAACCAAGTCATGACAAGATCTGTAGGCGAGACATATTCTGGTGGTTGATTTCTGCCAAGTCAGAGGTGCTTGGGAAACATCTTGGGCTTCTACAAGCCCTCCATAGCAAAGCACAGGATGAAACGTACCCAATTTAAAGGTGTCGGATCAGTAACTGGACTGCCTACTAGAACAAGAATCAACATGCTTCAGAAAGAGGATAACAGAATCCAGAGTCTCTATAAGATATCACTAACAATGTCCAGGACACAGCAAATTTACACGACGATAGTTGAAAATGGTAGTAAATCGATACCTAAGTGTTGGATTTAGCAAATACTTTAAAGCAACTAACAGACAATATATGTTTATAGAATTGAAAGAAAATGTCTGATTGAATTGACAGATAGCAAATCATGGGAGAGAAATGAAAACTATTAAAAGAAACCAAATGGAAATTTTAGAAAAATAATTAAGTGAAAAATTCATTGGATGGGCTTCACAGCAGATGGAAGATGGCAAAAGAAAGATAAAGAAACAGAATCTCAGGAACATGTGGAAAATATCAACTGGTCTAATATATGTGTTATGGGAGTTCTAAAAAGAGAACAAAGAATGGGGAGGAAATAAATGTATATATATATATTTAAATAATGCTGTGTTTTCCCAAATTTGATGAAAAAACATGGACTTATCCAAGAAAATCATCGAACTCAATAAAAGATAAATACCACGAAAGCCTTGCCTGGGCACATCACTGTTGGACTGCTGAAAAGAAAATCTTGAAAGCAGTCAGAAAGAAAAAAAAGGGACATACACAGAGAATGATGATAAGAATGTGTACTGACTTACCAGAAATCATGGAATACAGATGACAATGAAAATGTCCTTTAAGTGCCGGTGGGGTGGAAAGGGGTGGTGAGGGAATCCTGCCAATTCAAAATGTTAATATCCAGAGAAAATGCCCCTCGCAAACTTGGGCTTTTAATACACTTTATTTCAGATAAATTGAAGGCGAGAGAAATTGGATTCAGCAGGCCCCTGCAAAACAAAACAAAAATGCTAAAGGCTGATGGAGAATGAGAGAAAATGGAAAGCAAATCCACAGAGAGGGGAAAGAAAAAGCACTGCCAGGAATGGCAAATAATGGGTGCACATAAAGACTTTTATTGCCTCATAGTTTCCTTAAAAGGTAATTGTTTAGAACAAGAATAATAGCATTATTGTGTAAAATATAAGTTTCTGGGCTCTATAATGTATGTAGAAGTTAATATATGAAAAAAAGCACAAAGGTTGGGGGCGGTGGATGAATGGAATTATACTATTGTAAATTTATTAGGTTAGTGACAAAGAATGAAGTGTGAGGACCAATGTGCCAAGGGTGCGAAAATGCAAAGGACATATTAATAGATAGCTATAACTATTTTGAGACACACCAGAGTTAGAGGGACTTTCATTTTAAGACTTAGAATAGTCCGGTCTGAATGCAGTGGTGTTTACAACTAATTGATCACAATCAGTTACAGATTTTGTTGTTGTTGTTGTTGTTTCTTCTCCACTTCCACTGCTTAACTTGACTAACCTTAAAAAAAAGGAAAGACAAGAAATTTATAGCATTCAACTTAGTATGGTATTGGCATAAATACTCTATACTGTGCCATAGCTGCTTTATTACTAATAGCCAGTAACTGGAAACTATCCAAAGGTACACTGTGGATGAATGAATAAAAAAACTGCTCTGTTCATACAGTGGAATACAATTCATAGGTTAAAAAAAGGACATCATTAATATGTACACTAATAGAGATGAATTTCAAAAAACATGCTGTGTGAGGCAGTAATGGGCTCACACATCCTACTCAAACCCAAGGATGACCATCGGTGGCCCAGAGCCCTGAACTTGCCCTGTGTCTGACATGAGTGAGAATCCCCCAAACTCAGTATCTATCAGTGCCATTTTGGCAAACTAATCTCATGTGAGCATGTGAAAGAAAAACTATGCTGCTCAGTGGGAATGATTTGCCTACTAGGCCACTCTCCTGGAATTGGACCTGACTGTGGGACTCCAGGTTAGTCTCCTAGGAGCACATGCCAAGTGTTTCTCAGGGCATCTGGTGACCCCACATATAGGTTAGATGGAGAATATCCAAAATGGGAGAAATGGGGCCAGGTTCCCTGCAGCTTCTAGTTTGAGCTCAGGGTTCTTTACCTGGATGACATTACTGGCCCCAGCCAGTCCCACACACTTGGGATGGATTGAGAAAATATTGGGAAACACTCTCAAGTGGTGCCCTCCCTGGGGTGTGGAACCCACACTTCTTGCTTGAGTTTAAGGGCAGTACTGGGAGGGGAATGTTCGATGGGTTCAGTGGGCTACCCTTGATTGATGAGGGTTGACAGAAGATACTGCCATCAAACTAGCATCAATATTCTCAACTTAGTATCACTGCCAAAGGATTCTGAGCTAGCGGAGGCCAGGTGGCAGCACGTAACCAACAGAGGAAAGGTGTACATAATTACCAAATGAGGAGGACCTCAGGCAAGTATAATACAAATAAGAGCCCTTGGCCCATACATAGCTATCCCATTTCTGTTTCCACCTGGGGTGGGGGGGTCTCACTCATACATATGTATATATCCCAATATGCACGTTTCATACTGAACAACTACATAACCCACTTCCTCTGGGCCACCTCTTGGGTTTATAGGAATTCATACTAGGAGCATGATCTACTCTTGACAGGAAAGAGTTAGGGAAGTGTTGCATGTAGGTTCTAGACATGGGCTCAGGGCTAATTGGGCAGGGAATTTTTTAGTCCCTGGTTTTCAGAGTATTGCTTTGAAGTGGTGATGTGAGCCCTGGGAGGCCCTGTCCTCTTGGCCTTGTGGACTCTTACAGGGAGGGTTTTGGTTGGAGCCTGGAGCAGT